AGTCTGCTTCTCCATCTCTTGCTGCCCTTACCCCTCCACTCATGCCCACACTGTCTCTCTATCTTAAATAAATTAAAAAAACAAACAAATAAACAAATAAACATTCTTTTTTAAAAAAAAAAAAAAGATGCACTTTTAGGGCACCTGGGTGGCTTAGTGGTTGAGCGTCTGCCTTTGGCTCAGGTTGTGAACCCAGGATCCTGTGATTGAGTCCTGCATTGGGCTCCCTACAGGGAGCCTGCTTCTCCCTCTGCCTGTGCTTCTGCCTCTCCCTCTCTCTGTGACTCTCATGAATAAGTAAATAAAATATTTTAAGAAGATTGTGTTTTCTTCACTTAGAAACTAACTAAAAACTAGAATATTCTACCATCAGATTTATAGTGATCCTCAACAACAGCGTATATTCAGATATCAAACACCCAATCATACTTTTTAGGATTCTGAGTTATCCAGAAAACAAAAACTAACTATATTAGAATGGGCAAAAGTGTCCTAATGTTATTATGTTATTAATGTGTTACTAAAAATAGTAAGTTTTAGAACATCTAAATATAGAATAATTGATTTTGCCCTTAATATTGCTTTTAAGCAAATGCAGAACATTCAAATAAAATGGGATGTAAGAGGATTTGATGCAAATTGGAATTATTAATTTTTCAACTGTTAACCATCGCTTAAACTTTCTCATCAAAATGTAGGCATGTTAGCTTGGTAATCCAAAGTGGAACTTCCCAGGACACCTGAGTGGCTCAGTGGTTGAGCATCTGCCTTTGGCTCAGGGCGTGGTCCTGGAGTCCCGGGATCGAGTCCCACATTGGGCTCCGTGGAGCCCGCTTCTTCCTCTGCCTGTGTCCTTTAAGAGGAGGCCAAAACACTCACCTCAATATCCATTTTAAACTCATAGTAAGTATGTTTGGAAAAAGCATATTCAGCGTCATAATATGGAATTTTGTGTCACACAAGCAGAAATGAACTATTTAAAAATGCAAACTAAAACAGCTCACAAAGGTATGTTTGACATTCAGATAAGAATAAAGAATATCACCACGAGTCCCACAAATGCCTGCACTCCCGCACACACATGGAAAACTTTCAGGAGAGGCTGGTGGTGGTGCTTTCACTGCTGTCAAAATGGAGCATGAGCTCAAGGCGGCTCAAGCTCACAAAGGAAAATGCAGAAAACATTACAGGAAAAGGAGCCCTGCAGCAAAAGAAGAAATACAGTCTCTCAGAATTACAAGACAGTGAGGCAAGGACATGATGATCAAAGGAGGGCCATTGGCAGCTTCATTTGTCTCTATTTCTCACTTCTCCTCAGTCTGTTTTGCTACATTTGTGTTGAACAGAGACTGCACATGGACAGGAAAGTGTGATTTACCAAAGAAACAAAGTAGAAACAATTGTATGGAATGAATAATAATAATTTTTAAAATGCCCCCTTAGCTCATGTCAAGGGGCAGGAAAGCTGACTCATGATTAGCAACAACAGAAAAAGGAAATAAAAAAGCAAAAACAAAAAAACAACACACACAATAACAAAACAAAACAAAACAAAAAACCTCTCGCAAGTAAAATATCAAAGCTAAAGAAGCCTCTAGGAGTATGGATGGCAGAATCATAATAGTGGGAAAGGAAACTATATCCAGATTCTTGTATTTATGTATTTATATTTTAATGTATAAGGTAATTATGAGTAGACATATCGAGTTTAAAGAGTTTATTTCAGAGACTGTCATTACTCAGAAGCAGAAAGACGATTTTGCATTCCATGTGTACCCTACTACACCCAATTGCCTTTCTGAATGCATGTTTTATTTAAACAGCAACTATGGAAATCGGAATAGCAAAGATAAATACCATTCTTATTTAATTCTGTGTGAAAAACAAAATGGAGAGAAAAATAAGGATTGAGGAGAATCATGCACATGTATGGAATAGGCTCTTTGTGGAGCCCTTTAAAATATCTTTAAGGAATATTTTTAGAGAATATCAGCTAAGGTTACTTCAGTTGACTATAACTGTGAAAATTGAATTAATCCTAATAAAGATAGATAATTTTGTGGTAACAGCTTAAAGTTAAAATAACAATTCTGTTGGATGGGTTCAAGGAGGGAGCTCCTATTAATCTCAAAGCAAGTCCACAGGCCTCAGGTGAGGCCTCAGTCTTGTGGGCTGTTTCAGCAGGTAAACCACATACCACTGCCTAATGCCCTTGGTCACACTTGCTATTCAGCCACTGGTGTTGTGACCACCTCCAGGCAGGTGTGATTAGATAGTAGATATCAGGTGATACCTAGTACCTGGAGATCCTAGCCATGGGGCCTCCCTAACTCCATGGGATGGGACACTAGCCACCAGCAGTCCTGTCATGCATACAACCATGAATTACAAAGGTTGAGGACATGACCCCAGAAGAGCCATGAGTCCCACAGAGGCATTTGGGTAAAATCCTCTCATCTCTTGAAGAGAACAATTCTGAAGTGCATTTCCTAAAGTGCTTCAGCTGTTTTTGACAGAGTTGGACACCAGTCTCCCCTAGTCCTGTGCAACTCGATAAAAAAGAAAAAAAAAACCTGTATTGGCTTTTCTTTTTTCCAGTTTCACTCCCTTCTATTTGCACACCCACCCTTTGTGTGTTGCTTTTCTAAAAAACTGCCCATATGCAAGCTATGTCTTAGGCCCTGCTTTCTGGGGCACCCAGCTTACACACTCCCCAGTGGTGAAATTTCTAGTTCTTCTGTGCCAGGAACTCAGACTCCAGTGACAGGTGTTGCCTCATTCACAGGTTATTAGGAGTGATTTATTTTAATAAAACATTATATATTCATTCATAGAAATATTTATAATTTTTTTCTAAGTTGTTAAGACACATCAAGACTCAGCTTCTCCAAATATAATGGAGGAAAGGAAACTGAAGTAACTGAACTTTATTCATATTAGAATACCTGACAGAAAGCAGAAAGTGATTTATATGTGACTAAAATATCAAACATATGAATATCCTTCTAGTTTTTTACCCTAGGTAACATTCTATAAAGGTGACAGACAACTAGCCATTTCACATGTTTGTCCTCGGTCACATTTACAGCAAGGCGACCAGAGAGAAGTGAAGCTTATTCTACAGTAAGAAGAATCAATCACAGATTAGTAACACTTATGAGGAATGAAAAAAACAAAAACAAAACAAAACAAAAAAAAACAGGGAGAGTGGTAGACAGTCAGGCGTCCTCCTGGGGCTTCTCTGATTTACTAGCTCCCTGCATTTTCCCAGTGTCAGCTGCTACTGCCAGCATTCCCATACATTCTTCCTAGTGTATCGTGTTCAGGCATTAGTAAGTTTTTAGTTCATAGTTTCAGGAAAACAAAAACTGGCTTCTCATGTTTATAGACTAGCTCACAAAAAAAAAAAAAAGGAACAAACTATTTACAGCAGGTAGACTCCCTTCTGCCCCAAATCCCTTCAAACCAGATGAAAAGAAAATCACTCTCAGTTCTGAGCAAAAACAGCCTTCTGCTGCCACAACTCCTCACCCCAATGAGTGACCCCAGCCTGTTCACTCTCTGTTAAATATTTGACAATTAAATTATTAATCATAAAGCACTCTGCTCAGGATTTTGTTTTGGTTTGAATGTTGTCTATATCGAAGGAGGATTCAATGTATGACCTGAGGACTGCTTGCTGACATGCAAAAACCTATTCCTCACCCACACTGCTCCTGTTTCTTCCATCCATAGAAAGGTCACTGCCTAGTGAATCCTCATTGTTTCTCATGAACATTTTCCCCTTAGTTCAAGTTCTGAAATGTCCTAGCTCTCTCCCTCCTTGGTATTCAACTGTTTAGGGTTCTGCAAATGTTTCTTGCTATTTCTTAAGTGGGCACAACACTCTGAAGAAATTTCACGTATTTCCCTCCAGTGGACGAACTGTAGGAGTCTTCTCTAAATGGTGGCCGTGTGGCATTAAGGAGAGGCATCTTCTTCACTGCATTCTGCCTCACATGTTAGTTCTACAATATGATGGAAACACTAGGATCTTTCTGCTTTCAAACATCACGCAACTTCTAACACTTGCCACAACATCCACATCAATTCTCTAGAGCTGGAAACAATGTCCTGTGAATGGAATAAATTCCAACATTTGGGCACAGGATCTGAGCTCCACAGGTGCCCTGACACCTGTTCAGGACATCTTCGTGGACACCCACAGAAATTGCTTTGCAGAGGTCTGTAATCATAGAGTTCTGGGATAAAACAGATTTTTAGAACTAAAACCATTAATGGGACATTCTCAGAAATTCTCTTTGTTAAGAGAATCTTACCAAAGAGTGAATCAGTTGAGAGGAGAAGGAGAGAGGACTCTGGGAGGTTTTTTCTAGTATAAAATTAAGTCAAATGCTTAGAAACCTTTAAGCTCAGGAACTTTTCCTTTTCCCTTTTCCTCTGAACTGTGTCTGAGTGTTACAGATTATGCTCCTGTGCATATTCTTTGGTTCTTCATGGACACAACAAAGTCTTCTATCCTAAGTAAACGTCAGCCAGCAGAGGAAATAATGGGGTAACTATAAATACCATCTTGTCCTTCCCTTGTTCCTTCCTGCTGTCCCCAAACTAAACCTCCCACTTCCCCTTACACACTCAAATACAAATTCACACTCACTCCCATCACACTTTGACTCTACTTGGCAAGTTAGCAGGCAAGACATTGTTTTATGTTACCTGCAAGGGGTAACATTCCATCTTATTTCACATGTGTTCAGCAAGTATTTGCCCAACCACCATGCCAACAATGCAGAGACTATATTATTACTTTCATTTCAGAAGGAATGACAGCCTTCCTTTGGAGTTACTGACAGCTAAGAGGTCCCCTGTGATTTAGCCTCCACGACGTCTGAGGATTCAGGTAGTCAATCTGACGGTATGACACATTTCGGCCACTAACCAATACTCCAGGAACTGCCTCTACTTGACATTATTTCCTCATGCCCACCAATGCTATATAATTAGAAAGGATTCTGACCATGGTTGCTGATTATGTGCTCCTTCATCCAGTACCCATATTTGGTCAGTTTTTCCCGAAACTCCTTGGTTTTCACTGCATAAATAATAGGATTGAGCATTGGAGGTATAAGGAAGTAGAGGTTTCCAAGAATGGTGTGCACATGGGGTGGAATTCCCCTGCCAAAGCGGTGAGTGAGGAAAGAGAACAGTGAGGGAGTATAGTAGAGAAGCATGACAGCAATGTGTGCAGTGCAGGTGTTGACGGCTTTGTGGTGGGCTTCCTTAGAAGACAGCCGCAGGACAGCCTTGATGATAAGCACATAAGAGGAGGCGATAGCTGAGATGTCTAGCCCGGCAACCAACAAGGCCACCACCAGACCATATATCCGGTTGACTGTGGTGTCCACACACACCATCTTCACCACAGCCATGTGTTCACAGTAAGTGGTAGGGATGACATGATTTACATGAAAAGGCATCGTCTGGAGGAGGACAGGGATCGGCAGAATGAAAAGGATGGCTCTTACTAAACCCACTAAGCCAATGAGCCCAATGCGACTATTGGAAAGGATGGTGGCATAGCGCAGGGGCTCACAGATGGCTACATAGCGGTCAAAGGCCATGGCTGTCAGGATGGCAGACTGTGAGATAGACAAGGTATGGATAAAAAACAGTTGGACCAGACAGCCCACATAGCTGATCTCACTGTGTCTAAACCAGAAGATGCATAGCACTTTGGGAATGGTGGTAGTGGACATGCCCAGGTCTGTGAGGGCCAACATGCAGAGGAGCAGGAACATGGGCTTGTGCAGGGAGCGCTCCGTGCAGATGATGAAGATGATGGTGCTGTTCCCAAGGATGGTGATGAAGTACATGGAACAGAAGGGGATAGAGATCCATCTGTGTTTGTCCTCCATCCCGGGAATGCCTTGGAGAATGAAGAAAGGAGGATGCCCCAGGGAGGCATTGCACACAGTCATGGTGACACCCAGGTGTAGCAGCCTAGAAGAATCATAAAACACTTCATGAGCCTCAAACTTGAAAGAATTCAGGGTTAGAAAGTTAAACAAAAAAGTAGAATGATTAAATATGCAAATATATTCTGATATCAATGTGATATATATTATATAATATGGTTCAGTGTTATATGCCTTATTATATAACATGCTCTAGTATTATAGTAACAATAATGTGGTCTTACCACATCAAATCTCCCAGAGTATTTTCTTTTTGAATATATATTTTTTAAAGATTTTATCCATTTTTCATGAGATACACAGAGAGAGGTTGAGGCACAGGCAGAGACGTGTGTTCTCCTTGTGGGGAGCCCCATGTGGGACTCGATTCTGGGACTCCAGACCACTCCCTGAGCCGAAGGCAGACACAGTGCCACTCAGCCACCCAGGCGTCCCATATTTTCATCTTGAATATTTTTATAAATGAGGCACTTAATCATCTTTAACATATAAAACGTCATAAATATATAAAATTATGTTATGTGTATTTTTGAATGTATATCCCCTTTAAGAATGGAACTTTAAGGATGTGAGACAAAAATGGGCAGAAATACCAAAACCATGATAGAGGATGAAATCAGCCAACAAGGAGCTTTTTGGAAACAAGATAGCTTAAATGCCTGCAACAGAATTGCTCACCAAAAATTAGAGGATACGCATTTATAGCTCATTAGGGACTTGAAGAGAACTGTGATGACAATTATCCAATGAGGATGCAGAGGCTGCAGGTGGCAAGCTTCTGGGCACTTTGACCAGGTTGCCAGACTGGGACCGTGAAGCCCACCTCACCCAGAGACACTCACCTGACTGTGGAGCAGCCACAGTGTGAGAAGCTAGGCTCAGACTCCTTCCTTAAACATGTGTGTGTGAGTGTGTCCAGTTTTCTGTGGCTATTGGCTATATATACGTGCACAACCATATGGGTCCTGGAGAATACACTCAGTGCCATGCATGTCCAAACCCTTCCCTCTCAGGCACTCAAGCAGCCCAGGTGGGGCCCATTAAATCATCTAAGGAAAGGCCCTCTGGGTGCTCAGATTTTGCTCTTTTGCCCTTTGCTTTTCCCCAAACACATACACAAGGCACCACTGCAATTATGTGTAAACTTGAGCCCGGGGTTTCTCTGAGCTGGTAGGAGATGAGGCTGGTTGGCCCTAATAGTTCCTGGCAAATTCCAGTATTCGGTAGACTGTGGCTATCTAAAGAGAGAGAGTGAAGTTAAAGCTGAATCTGGAACTATATTAGGGCCTGAGAGGTTGTATGTCAAAGGCCCTCTTTTCCACATTTGCATAGGTTGGAAGCCCAGTAGGCACTTACTCCAGAAGTCATCACAGATACTGCCCCAGTTGTTGGATGCTATGATGAAATGCTGTTAGCAGCTCTGATTCTGTCAATCCTTACTGTCGTCTAGGTTTTTCCTCTGTTTCCCAGGCCAATGGCTAGTCCCTAGACATTTCCCCCAGCATATTTATGCAGGTTCAACAATCACGTCCTGATATCCCCTCTACTTCTGGGACAAGATGTAGGCATATTTCTTGCTTATGAAGGGAAATAAATCTGTCCAAAAAAACCTGTGCCACATCACTTGGAGAATGTACAACATAGAACAAAATATTGACAACAACAGGCAAAGCCACTGCAAGAGTGGGACTCAGAGGACCACATTCTAAATCATGATGTAGTGCAAGTTCTGCCTAACAACAGACCCTGTAAAGAAACTTTGTTCTGAGTCAGGTGTCAACAGGAGGGAGGCCATGGTAAGAGAACGAGTGACAGAATGAAGGGTGTAGCACAATCAATACATCAACAGAAGGAATCACCAACAAAAATAGGCCAGGATCAAGGCACCTGCTCATGGACCCATTACACAGCTTCCCCTGCAGAAAGCTGTGTTATTAACATGCCAAAATCCTGGGCTCAGTCATCTTTCCCCTTTTTCCCAGGGAAATCCTGATGGACAATAAAGTCTAGGAATAACTAGTAAGACTCGTTTTTTATTGGCCCTACTGTCTCAGGCTTATATTCATGATCCTGTGATTTCCCTGTGTACAAGTTCTAAACAGACTTTTCTTGTAGAATATTGCCAAAGCTCTATGAAGCGCCATAGTATTGGCCAGAATCCTGGACCCTTCAGTCACCAATTTTAAGCTTGCTCTTTGGATAATCACACTACTCAGAGAAAATAACCCTGGTCTAGTTCCTCTCCAAGTACTGTATCCCGATCACCAGCGTCATGTTTGTCACATAGTGGGCAGAAATAAAGTCAAATCAATTAATAAGTGAATGAATAAGCAAATAAATAAGTTCTTTTATATTATTATAAATTATTTTATATTTTATATTTTATATTTATTACATTATATGATATATTTAAATAAATATTTATATTTATTATTTTATATTAAATACTTAATATTTATGTTTTATCTTATATATTTCTTTTTATGATTAAATTAGGTGTCCTAGTTTGTGGGGATTTGTTTTCTTGTGTTAATGAAACCCGGAGCACAACTATATTTGAAAGCTATCTATTCCGCCATCAATGAATCCATAAATCAGGATGATTGGGAAAAAATTCTAAGATTAATTCTTCTTAGAATCTTGACAGAATGGTTCTAAAATTCACTTGGAAGATGGAATGCTGGTGTAGGTCATTCTGTAAAGTGTCTGACTTTTGATTTTACCTCTGGTAGTATCTGAAGGTCATGAGAAGAAGCTCCACATAGGGCTCTGCACTGGGTGTAGAGCCTCCTCAAGATTCTCTCTTTCTCCCTATCCCTTCTCCCTGCTAGTGCACTTTTTCCCTTTAAATATATATATATATATATATATATATATATATATATATATATACATATACACATATATATATATATATGAAATTCAGATAGAAAAAAGTTTTGAAGGTGATAATGATGATAGCATAGGGGCACTAGCCTAATAGAATTTAAAATGTATTGTAAAAATATAGAAGTAAAATCTCTGTTTTTTATCACTCAAGATGTTTTCATGTCTATGAATGTCAATATTTTTCCTCTTATTTTAATCATGTTGGAAACAGAAAAGTTAGAAAGAATAATATAGCATGTATCCATATATTCACAATATAGATTTTTTAAAAATTGCAAAAAGTATAATATCCTCCTGTGTAACTTATTTTCTTTTTTTTTTTTTTTTTTTTTAATTTTTATTTTATTTATGATAGTCACAGAGAGAGAGAGAGAGAGAGAGAGAGGCAGAGACACAGGCAGAGGGAGAAGCAGGCTCCATGCACCGGGAGCCCGACGTGGGATCCGATCCCGGGTCTCCAGGATCGCGCCCTGGGCCAAAGGCAGGCGCCAAACCGCTGCGCCACCCAGGGATCCCTGTAACTTATTTTCAAGTGTTTCTCTTTCTTATCCTCAAGGATGAATTGTTTCATGTAATTCCCTTAACATTTTAAACTTTTCAATATAGTTACGACATAAATGTGAATCCTAATTTAATGAATGCTGTGACATATATTTAAGCTCTTTACAAATGGTGCTATGGAAAGCCAGTTGATAAATCTTGATTTTTCACAACTTTATATTTGTGAGATACACTCAGATTGATTCATGCAGGTCTGGTGAAGTGTTCCTTAGTGCTATGAAAAGATATTTTTCCCTACTCAGTAGCGGTACGATTATATGCACCTATATACTTAAAAGAGTGGATGCCATATTTAATTAATGAAAGCAGTTGAATGAAGATGTTATACTTTATTCACTGATGCTTCTTTGCTGAGTACCTAGCTCATTGAAAATTATTGATAGGCATAATGTTATTAATATTCTTATGTCATGCTGTCTCCCTGCATTCTTGATTGCTACACGATTTAGTTGTTTTATAAAAGTTATAAAACCATCTGCCTTAGTCTGTTTTGTTGGCTGTAAAGTATGAGACCTGCTATGGCCAATCAGACTAGGAGCCACAGAGGCGTGTGCTCCCCGACGTCTCCAAGTGGAACATGCCATGAGAAGGGAAGTAGAAGGTTAGAGACCAGGGTTCACAGTGAGTTAAATCAGGGAAGGTTTCTGAGAGGGACTGGGCCATAGATTGAGATTACGCCAAGAGCCAAGCAGGAAAGAGTGAGAGAGGCATGTTTCCTTGGAGCCTTCTTTCCTTGACAGATCCTTGTAGGTTAGGAGACAGTCCTCATTTTTTCCTTATTAAAGTCCTGTCTCTGGGACTCAAAGGGCCTCACTTTTAGAAGGGACATAAATATTAAGTTCATCTAACTGTCTTCATCTAGAAGAAGAATTTTGGAATGTGGACACACCTAAGAGAAGATAAAAAAATTCTACGATAATTAAAAAGAACATTCTTTCTTCTATTCCCTCTTTACCTATCACCGTTTTATTAAAGACCAACTAATTTTGTATGTTTTCTTAATTACAATTTGCATTTCTCATATATTACACACGTTTGCTGCTTCATACAAATGGTCAATGTAGTTTAAAAATGTATTGGTAATGTTATTATGAGATTGAATTACTAAAAAAAGTATTTTCTTTGAATTTGAAGCCACATAAATGATTTTGTGCCAATATGGAATGGATCCTAAGAATTTTATTATGGATTAAAATAAATAAAAACATTATCACAATGTATTCCCATCTGTGTAAACTGTAATTCTATGTTCCATAGAAGATGGGTGAAGGTGCCCTTGTTATCTGCAGGCTGCATTTTTTTCTTGACTTCACTTAGTAATTAACCAAAAATTAGACTATCCTACGACCAGATTTACAATGATCTTCAACGGTAGCATCCATCCAGATGTCATGACCAAATCCTAGCTTTAGGATTCTAGACTTTCCAGATCTCAAAGTATGGGTCTGTTAGAGTAGGCTTGAATTTCACAATAATTTTCTATCAGGCAATATATTTATTTAATTTCCAAAGCATTTCCCATAAAAGATATACTGAATAGCTCTAAATTGCTA